TAGGCCTTTCTTGGCTGAAGCTGTTAACTGGTCCAAACATGCGGTTTAATATAACATTCCGCTAGTTAAGTGTTTCTCACCCAGAAGTTTTCAAAATAAGATCTAAGTACTCCTGTAAAGTGTATTATAGAAACTAAACGTTTAGCCAAGCTACAGCCATCCTAGCAGAACGTTAGTCGCAATTATATGCTTACATTTACAGTGTAGGACCTAAGTCTATATTTCTACCGAGTTTGTTGAGGACAATTCATGACTTATGCAGCCATGACGTAGCTGCTGCGGCAAGAACAATCGTTCCTCGCGCTCCAGAAGAAAACCCCAGGAAACTAATGAAGGATGTTGCCCAGGGACGTCGGTGTTTCCCCTGCGATTCATGTCAGCGAAGGCGGAGAAAACAGCGCCCGCGCGGCTTTACTTTCAGTAAATTGAAAAACTAACAAAACTGCATTGTTTAAATCTCATTGTTCATGCTGTTGTAAGTTCTCGTACGAGGGTTTGCAAACATGGGCCCAAACCCCATCAACCATAGAATGCCTTTTATTCTTTTTGTACTGAAAAACGGAAAAACCAAGCCATCCATTTCCTCCATGTGGATTTGACATATAAAACGCTGTAAATTCACCGCAGCTGGACCCTTCTCATTAGGTTTGAAAATGGTGCTCAATGTATTTGAAAGGACGATGATGGATGGTATTGATTGATATTATAAAGTTTTGCTGAAATAATCAGAAATGGATCAGATTTATGCAATCCCAGACAGACCAGAGAATATATCATAATGAATATTCAGTCACTGAGAAGGATTTATAGCATATAAGCATCTCTTAGCATTGAGCGTTATCACAACCAAGTAACACCTACATTTGTCAATATATATTTACTTATACTAGATTGAGACTCATTTTTAAAAAATCTTATTGTCTGTCCCTTCATCCATGCTCTGTTTTTCTTTAAATAAACCCAAAATAAATGCTGTTTTCCAGTTTAAGTCATTAGATGGCGCTGTCAGTAAACGAGCCACAGGGAAAAAGCCACTAATACAATGAGGAGAGAGTCAGTCAGTTTCAAGGAATTCAAGGAACTCAACAGTCCTGTGTTACATGCGCTCGATGCCGCTATATTTCCAGGACCTTTAACAGGGATCTAATCCTAGTTTATTAACTGACAGCCACCTAACTTTTGTTCTAGGCTATTTATTCCTCTGCAGAACCTAAAGGAGGACCACCGACCCGCTGCTGCAGGATTCCCGCTGAAGTTGGAGCACAACGCGGACTGTCGGAGCTGGGAAGTTGCCCGTTTCCCCATCGCACGCTCAGTCAAGCTTCAGACTGGTTGAAAGTTATGGTTTTAAATCTGGTTGTCATACAGACTTGCACAATGTTAAGGAGACCCGGCGCCTTCTGTGTGTGTGGAAAATGATTGCGATCAGCGCCGAGCTTTTCATTATGGTGAGGAGATGTCTTCTCACTTTCAAACCGTTCAGGTAAGACACCTTTTCAATACGCACTGACGTGTGTACATTACATTGCTTCAAATTTAAGGCATTTTTCTGTTATTTTTTTGTATTCTGCGTCATATAAAAAATATATAGGTTGACTTTTGGTTGAATTTCTTCCTGCATAACATGTCCGTGTGTGCGAATACAGTAGTGCTTATTCCTCAGCTTCTGTTTTCTGCAAAAACTTGCAAGTTCTTGCATTAACTGGAACAACGCGATGCCCGCTGTGCCATAATTAAGGTTTGCTTACTCAGCTTTAAGTTTAACCACCAGCAGCTGGAGACAAGTGAAAGCAAGTCAAGCGGCTATAAACTAATTAAAACTCCCCAAGTATGACCAGATGAGTTGTACACAAGCTCAAGGACCCATTAGGATTAAGAAATAAGTCATCATGGTGTCCAGGCCAGTTCCCTGATGTTTTACAGCTTTCTGAGTGAACACAATGGTGTTACACATTATGCCTGATTTAACATGCCAATGAGCAACTGGCTCACTCATACTGTCAGTGGATGGTACAGAGAGAATAGAACTCACTAACTGCAGAATCATTGCTACAATACTTGTGTGCATGCTTCCTGAACATCAAATCCCAGATTTTCACCCTCACCTCACATATTGGATAGATATATGGCTCTATCGCTCACTCAGGCTGTAGCTGAGTGTCTGCAGCCTCCCTGACAGTTTCCTGCCTTTTACAAATTCAACAAAGCAGGCTGTGGTGTGCAGAATGGAAGAGTGACAATCTGTCCTGCTGTCCCTTCCTCTACAAAAGGATTGTTTCCAAACATTTTCTCAGCACGACTCGTGGAGCGTGCCGATGAGCCTGTTTTTGAGCTAATCCGCACCAAAGCATTTTTTTTTTTTCTCAAAGCTTCAGAACTTGAAAAACGTTCACTGCTCTATCCAAAACGCAACCACTGGGCAGTAATTTCATGCTTTTATTTTGGATGTTAGCTCACTGAGCACAGTGTGATGCAGAAAGCCCATCCGTGTTGATGGTTCATTTGAGCTGACACAGTCAAGCGAGTACACAATGCTTTTTTGTGGGTTCGTTGGTACGACATGAACCTTGGAAAGTATGTCCTCACTCCATAAAGCCCCACAAAGCACTTGGAGTTATGTCACCTCTCAGAGCTTGTCTCGAAGTGAACTCCCCTGACACGTTCTTTGTTTCATAGTTTCACTCTTCTACTTTTTTGTCCTCATCTGTCCCATGCACCTTTTTTCTTTGTGTCTGATGAGCTCTAACCATGTCGTGCTCCTGTGTCACTTAATCGCCCCTCGTCTCTGTCTTTCTCCTGCAGGATCTTTGTGGTGGGAATTGGCTTCTTCAGCTTATGCTTTCTAATGACCTCTCTCGGGGGCCAGTTCTCAGCCAAGAGACCCGGAGATTCCCCCTTCACCGTGCGAGCCGAAGGTAAGCCTGCGGTTACACGTCAGTGCTGCTGGGTCGCCTCTTGCTGCGGTAGCTGTGCCCCCGTGCTTGTAATGAACAGGCTGGGAACATGCTGAGCTCTTCGCGGGGCTTCCTTGATTGCCGCCAGCGGGCTGACAGACCTGCTCACTTTGCTCATCAGGAGTGCGTCAGGGGGTACTGTCACCCCCGAGAAGCTCCTCTCTTCTCTCATCTACACCTCCATCTCCTTTTTACACCTGCTTTCATCTCTGTTCGGTGTCCACATGACCTTGTTCTGACCCATATGAACTAATTTATAGTAGTAGTAATAGTAGACAATTTGTGGAGGCAGAGGTGGGGTTGTTATGTTTGTATGTGCTCATGTAGGCCAGTGGATCTCAAACTGTGTGTCGGGCCCTGGGGGGGCATAGAGGACCTTTTATTTCACTAAAATTCAATTTGGATCATTTTGTTTATTAATTTTGGTCCCCCTATCATTGTTAATGATTGCTAATTGTGGAATGGTGTGTGTGTGTAAACTTTTTTTGGCTTCTGAAGGGGGGCATGTTAGAAAAAGTTTGAGAACCACTCATGTAGGCGAATAGAGAAGAAACGGAGGGAGTAGTCCACCAGTGGAATTCTTCTTATGAGCTCAAGCAACTCAATGAATAAAATAATGCTATTAATATGCCATGTTTTTAAGACAGACAACCAGTACTAGAGATGCATTTGTTTCTTAGTGAGAGCACAGCAGAAACAGCTGAATGACAACTCCCTTTAGACAAATCTAATCTCATCCTAAAAGGTGCAAATGGCCACTTAAATGTGTGTAGTAGCTAGCAACACTGACCTTGGCCTCAGAGATCAACAAATCAAAGCCACTGCAAAAAAATTTATCTTTCTCAGCACGTTCTCTGTGTTTGCGCTATGTGCCTCTGCATATAAACCACTACAGCGCTAGCCATTTGGGAGAGTCAGTGTTAGCTTTTGGACTATTGTCTCTCACCTTTTTATCTCCGCCTGGCACGATGTTGACACTGTGTGTCATCCTCTATGACAGATACCAGCTGGCACAGGCAGAAGCAATGCAATCTATCACAACCCATTCAAGGACACCAGTTGTTCGTATTTGTAAAGTATTACACTGATCCCAATTTATTTCTATTCAAATAAGGGAACCATAATCATTTCATCCCCGTTGAATAATGCAGTCTGGTCATTGCAACTGATCTTATCGCCTTGTGGTTGTTTGTTGTGTAAGATATAAAGATAGTGCTGGAATATTTTTGACTGACTCACTTGAATGACTCTACTCGGTTATTAGAAGCTTTAATATTGGCTTGTCAGAGCTCCACGGGAAAACAGTAATGAAGGAAATGTTGTAGCGAGGTGCATCAGGTGACATCAAGGGAGACACTTTGAAGGATTTCACCCATTTATGGAGTATATGCAGAGCTGGTTCTGGGTGAAGGAGAGAGAAAGAGAAGGGTGGAAGACAGGAGAGCTGTCTGATTAATTAACCACTCATAGGCTGCAGTCAAGGGAAGGCATCTGGCCTCTAGCTCATTAAGCACTGCCTCGCCACTAACCAGGGAGAGTCACGCTATGTAAATTCTCACCCTCTGTGTGTGTGAGTATGTGTCTTTGTGTACATGTGGATGTTTGGGAATGAGGCTTAGCGGCACAGGAAGTTTGTGCAGTATGACTGAGCTAGGATGAACTGTTCAGTGGAGCAGTACCTTGACGACACTAGATTGTACACACCCATCCGACCTCTGCTGCTGGACGCTGGGGAGAGCTACAGGACATATATGCACACACATACACCTGCACTACCTTGTCAGTCTTTACACCAACATGTGTGTGACATGCATTCGCGCAGGACATGTGAAAATGTCAGCGAGGCAGCGGGAGCACCTTAAAATCCAGAGTGTTTTGAATCTGAAAGGGTAAACAACATGGCCAGGCTGCGCTGTGAGGAACCATTACCTTGTTTACTGCTCATCTTGTGAATGGCAATAATTGCCTGAAGAGCAAAAGGTGTAAGAAAAATATATAATTATTGTCTTGCTACCTTCTGTTTCTCTCGCCCCTCACTGCCTGTCTGTCTCCCTCTACCTCTTTTTAAATGCTTCTCTCCGGCTCAGTCTCTCTGACCTGTTTTTGTATTATTTTTGTCAAGAAAAGACTGTAGTGTGTAAAAGTGTTAGGCTATGACACTCCAGAGCCAGAGACCCAGAATACCCCACAGTTACATTTGGATACTAAGCTATATCCAGATTTAAAATGCATGCAATTCCTTCATTACGTCCCTTTGAAGGTACAGGAAACTAATGATGTGGAAAATAAGTGAGAGGGGAACAGAGGGAGACTAGTTCTACCAGAGTGGGAAGCATGAAAGGCAGAAGCATTTGATCCTAGATATCTTAAAGGCTCCAGAGGTGTACTGTAGCTTTCTAATAAGCTCTTTGAAGACCACCTTCACAGTGTGTCCTTTTACCACAGGGGTCTTAATGCAGCTTTACCACAAAGGGATACTTTCAGATTTTACCCTGGTCAGAGCAAGACTAAATGGTTCAGATTTGAATGCATTTACTATTCCTACCTGCAAGCTCCATTACCTCAGGGTTTTTGTTTCACCTCCAATACCTCTAAGTGACAAATATGTTTTGCTGCAGGCTGATAGAGTATTGCATCTCTCAAAGAAAGCAGATGGTTTCTTAAATCTTTACCTACTCCCCTGTGCTTGAATCTATATATTTTAATCCTTTTTATATTTACTCCACATCACCACACAAATGTATTAAATAATAATAAAGCAACTGCTTACATTTTGGTGGCTGGACTACTACTGAAACTGATTAAATGTAGGAGAAAACCAGCCTTTCCCACTACTTTTTAATCCATCACTGAGCAGAGCATCAGGTGTGCAAGGAGCATGATGTTCAGTATCCTGTTCAGTGCGATCCTTTTCACAGACACTGGCAGAACTTTTTTATTTCATGCCTCAGCAGTCTTACGTGATGCATGGAAATGAGTCTTCCCTGACATCGCTCCTTGTAAGGGCACGGCATTTGCAAGTCTATCAATGCTGCAAACTTCAATACTTCGTTTGAATGAAAAATGGGATAAATAATTAGTTTGCGGTATAGCGCTCTACTCCGGCATATGTAGATGTTATGAACAGAATAAACTGACCTTTGCTACTGACAGAACTTCACCAGTAGTTTAGAATAACTGTAAATTCATGTGCCGCTGACTGCCTGGCGCTCTGCCTGACGACAAAAAAAAAGGTGTGAATGAAAGATGGCTGCTCATTGTTCACTCTGTCACAAGCTCCTGTCACCTGGTGGAAAGACCAGTGATTTTCTCTTGGATTGTGGGGTATGACAACAGGGGTTGTAATGATTGTTATTTTGGCCAGGACAGTCAGAGACACTTCAGGACATTCAACTGTAAAGATGTTTTCTGTGTCTCAGATTGCTTTGGTTGTTTGCGGCTTTGTGGCATTCAGCATCTTCTTATTTAAGGCATGATTTGAGAAGAAATTAAGACTGAGGCTGAACTACAACATGGTACTTTTTTTTATTTTGCTCTTGGCATTGCAATAGGCACATTTTAGGCAGAGACTGTTGTCACCACTGCTGCTTATTAGTCTCTTGTAGAATTGACTGTCGGTGTTGGTTTAATTTTGCATGTAGAAGTGTTGGTGTGGACCCATCAGTTGATTAAATTGTCTCCTGGGGGAAGCAGTGGGAAAAGAAGTACCGCAGATTTGATTACGACTGTTTCTGTAAATTAGCTGCTGCAGCATTATAATCCTTTAGCTGAGTGTGACCATGCAGTGCATGTATGCACTTGGACCTGTACATGCAGCACACGCAGAAACACAATCATTTTCAAAGTAACTAATGTTCAAGCTGCATAGCTACTAATTTTAACAATTGGCAGCATAATGTGTGCTATCATTGTATAATATAAGCTTAAAGTGAAGTTATTGTATTGTAGTTATTCTTATTACCAGCTATGTATGAGCTGCAAACTGGGTCAAGAAGTTCACTTCTAGATGTGGTTTAGGTAGCATTTTCTATTCTTGTTTTTTTTTTTGCATGCCTGCAAGAATATTTTGTGTGAAAACAGGAAATATGTAGATGCAAATGCTCATCATATTTTTGTGGTTTTGCACAATCTGAGCAGTGAAAGGACAAAAGAGAATAAAATTGCTAAATGCCCGTCCTGGAAAATAAGTATGCTGTGACACTGTATCTGGGTAAATTGAGTAGTGTGTGTTTTTAAAGAGCGTATATTAGCAGATGCTGAGATGTGTCTGTTGAGCCTTTTCTCACCTTCTAAGTTGCCAGGTGTGCTTCGCTGATTTCACTGTAAAAAAGTACACCATGTATCACACATTAAATGAATGCTTTAAAGCTGTGGTATAAATCAATAAATGTCAAGCTGCAGTGTTTCGGTGTGCGCAGTATAAGAAAACATCACTTTGCTTCTAGCTAAATGTGTTGGTCTACCTTTGCATACTGTGGGGAGGGTCAGCAGAAATAACCAATGAAAAGGATAGATCAGGTTTTAATTTAAGCTACAGAGGTGTTTTCCCCCTTTTCCAGGCTGTCAGGCACAATAAGAGGCTGGAGCTGCTCGGAGGATAAGTGACAGAGGTTTTCAGCTCTAATAGCTTCTTGGATCTGGCAGCTTCCCCCATAGGTGCCAAAAAAGAAGAGAGAAACTCAATCTCAATCAGCCTTTTCGGTAATGAATATTTGAATTAGGAGTGAGAGGACAGGGAAATGTATGAATTTATCCCGGTGACAGGTGAGATGGAGGGGTCTGACCCTCAGTTTCCACACTAAGAAAACTACTCAGCCAGCAAGCATGCATATAAGAGATGACAGAATTTATTTATTTGGCTCTCAGTCGTGCCAGTGGGGAGAAGAATTTTTTTATATATGTGGTGTGTATGACACACTGCTACAATCAATTGTTTTGTTGATGGATAAGTTACTAAATATAGAAACGGCGTATTTCCATCTTAGTGAGCTCACTGTAGAATAAAGTTGTAGTAGACGGTATAAAGCTTATCTTTTAATGCATGTTGTTGCTTTCAATTGGGTGTAGTTTGTGCTATCTATGTAATGACATCATGATTTCCACATACTGCTCAACACCTGTATTACACCTATGCCAACTAGTGAAAAATATACATCCTTCAAAACATGTAATAACAGCAGAAGTAGATTCTTTTGCCTGCCAACATATAGTTTTTGTTGTATCGGGTGCCTACCTACAGTATCTAAAAGAAGTGTTCAACATTAGATTGAATTATTAGATTTAGTGTGGGAGCTTTTTGTTCTGACCTTTCACATTGCTGCAGAAATAAGACGAGACTGCTGTAATTGCAGCACCTTGATTGCTTCTTTCTTGCATCCATTATTTTGTTGTGGATTTGGCAGTTTTGCATACGTGTGTGTTTGTCTATTTGTTTGCATGTTTTTGGGGCTGAGGGCTCATGAGCTTCCCTGGCAAGTGCTGCAGCATTGTCAGAAAAGGTTCATTAAAGCAACATGCTTGCAAGTTACTGTAGGTATTCAGGTATTTTATCCTTTTATGTACCTTTTGTTTAACTGATGGGATGTACTTTGTGCAGAGATTACATGCATCATCTGAATCTTGGAGCTGCTGGTGGTAAAATTAGCCCTGCGTTGTGAGACACAATGTTCAGAACGTCCCTCTGAGATAATGTCAAGCCGTGTCTGAATACACACACTGCATGAGGGCCAAGGTGGTAAGATGCGCTGCCACTTTTTTCTTTCTTTTTTAATTAAATTATTTAAATTAGTGCTTTCCACTATGGGCGTTGGCTGGCAGTCTCTCGACAACAAACATATATAATTATACCTTGATGTATAGGATATATATATATATATATCTCCTAGGTGGTGTCTTGTGAATATTGATTGTAAATAAAATTTTGATTGTAAAGGATCTAAAAACATCTAAATTATAGCCTCCCACTGAAGGACTTTGTCTGGGGATTTTAATGAAACTGAATCTGTGATGAGTAGGAAAGATATTCAGTCTGTTGTGTTGTTTAATAGTGATATGTGAATTCAGTTTTGGGTGGCCATGTCTAAATGAACCAAAGACAGACTGATAATAAAAGGACTGGCACCTCTCATTGTCTGACTTGGACCTGGAGCACCCGTCAGTTCCTATACTAGTTAATTAGTTCAACTGAAGGGTGAGCTTTATATGCAAGTGAATGTTCTCTAGGGAACTTTTGAAGCTTAACAAAAGACTAATCTGTCAGTCATGTAAAATACTTTGGCTGCATTGCGTCAGTAAAAGGTCTAGTGTGTAACATT